ATTGTTCAGAGATCGTTTCAGAAGTGAGAGCCTCAAGAATTACAGAAAAACTTTCAATGGAACAGTGATTTTTGTTTTTTTCCAGTTGTTCTGATTTCTCTTGTATTTTCAGCCTTTTTGGTCTCTCTAAGGTGTAAAAAAACTGTCTGTTGAATGAGAAGAAGACTTCCTTTATAAGGCCGAGGGTCTGTTGTGTGCCTTCCAAGGCAAGGCAATCAAATTTTCCAAAATACCCTTATAGGGCATCTTTTAAAACTGATTTTTGGACAATTGTCCATTTTCTTCAGTATTTTCAATTTACAGCCTGTTTTCCCAAACCATTTTGGGCAGCTGTCCATTTAGGAAGCTTCCCATCAGTTATTAAAGATTTTTCAAGTTAAAACACCTCCAAAATTACCCCATAAAGTTTCCCATTATTCACTTACCCCCTCCCCNCTAATCTCAATGCTTCAGTTCCAAAATTAATTCACAAATGTGAAATGAAGCCTAGCGAAAAGAAGAAAATCTCATGAATTGAAACCAAATTAAACTCAAACGTACGAAGCCGATTGTCATTGACAAATAAGCAAACAAGCTAACTAACGAACTTACAACCAGAACATAATGCAATTAAGCAAGAAACGAAAATTCTGAAGGATGAAAACTGGAAAAACAAACAACCAAGCAAAAAAACAAAAAAGATCAAAAGGAAACCAATCGATGCAAAGGAAATTATCCCAAACCTGCTTCGCCAAGAACTGCATGAACTCGAACAACCTTGAAGAAGAAAGTGAACCTTTGACGGTCATTAATTGATTGTCCTTAACAAAAGGCAAACGATTAATGACGGTTTTGGGTTCACTTAACCTTGCTAAGCCAGAAAGGAACTCAGGGAGAGACTTGGCTATTCGGACATCTGCTCTACCACTGATGGACCATTTTGAAATGAAATAAACACGTATTTGAGGCAGGAAGGAGATGAGGGGTTGCATGGTGTGATTCTGGGTGGATCTGGGAATTTGGGTTTCAGGTGCTAACCTCAGATCTGAGATTCGAGGCGATGGAGAGGGATTTGAGAGGAACTGTTTAGAGATTTGGGATAGGGAGGTGGAAGGGAGTTCATGGTGTTACTTTGGTGGCGAGTGGATGCCGGCACCACCACCGGACGGTGGGGGAATTCTGGGGCGGCTACTAGGGTTTGGGGGGCAGGTTTCTGAAGGCGGGGGTGTTGGGACGATGAAATGAGGGGGGGTAGGGTGTGTTCGGACATATATATACCCCCAGGCTTTAGTTCTGAGCCATTCGATCAAGTGGGGATCAACGGCTCAGATCGACACTGATTGAAACGACGTCGTTTCATTTGAGGGGGGATCTGGACCGGGTCAGGCGTGGGTTGGGCAGAGTATTGGGTGGAAATTGCTTGGGCTGGGAAATTTAATTGCAAAAGCCTAAAATCAGATTTCTTTTTCATTTTTTTCCTCTTCTTTTAATTTCCAATTTTCCTTTAAATTAATTCCTAAATCAAATAATCCTACCACAATAAATTAATTAACTCTAACTAACAATTACCACAAATAATTGAATACCAAATTGAAAGAAAAACTCCCAAAATTCGAAACTCAAATTAAAAAGCGTAAAAATGAGTTGTTTTTTGTGATTTTTCCATTTTTGTAAAGCAACTAAATTACTAATTAATTCAAAATGCCAAATTAAATCTCAAATGCAAATGCATTATATTTTTGTATTTTTTTTCATGACTTAAATAAAATAAACGTGCGCATACAAATGCAAGCACATAATGAAAAATGCTACAAAAATCTACGAAATTGCAAATAGTGGAAAAAAATTCATTTTCCTTGAATTTATGGGAGTAATTCACATAGGGTAAAAATCACGTGCTCACACCCATAATGTAAACAACACCCTTAACCAATAATCAACACTCGACACCCCAACCCTATAATCGTTCATGCTTTTCTATCAAACCCATCAACTCATATCTCATGAACTAGGGTTTATAATCATTAAACCAATGCTAGAATCAATTAGAGGGTAAAGACATTACCTTTTTGAAGTTCAAACCCTTTAAATTCGAGTTCTAGGCTTCCTTCTCTCAACAATGATGTCCCAATCGAATATCTAATGATATGTTTAGCCATGTTAATAAGATGTTGGGAAATTGAAATTGAGTTAGAATCACCATTAGAACTTATCTTGGGTGGTGGAGGGACCCTTAAGGAGTTAGGTTTTTGAGAGCTTTACTTTCTAGACAAGTTTTCATGTTTTGGGTCTGTAGGGGATGAAATAGGGCTAAAAATGACTTCCCAAGTCGTCCACCGCGTCCCGGTTGGCGCGACCGCAGTCCCGACCGCGGTAAATAGCTGAGACACTACCTCGCCACCGCGGCTGCGGTAAAACGCGGCAGGACCGTGGTGGTTGCACATCTCTCTGTAAAACAGGCATAACAGAGCTCTGTTTGGACTCCACAATATATCTTTGGAAAGCTATTTCAAAGGCCTACTTTTATGCTTTGAGTTTTCCCAAATTCCTTACACATTTTCACTAAAACCTGCTGGAATACGAACCTTCTGCACACTTAGTCGATTTTGTCAAATCTTATGCACCTCACATTCCATCTTGATTTTGAAATAACTATTTTCACCCATAATCATCCCGATGGGACTTCACATGTTTAAAATATATCCTTACTACTCCTTTAACTCATTCATACCTAAGCCGAATTTTTACGGGGTGTTACATTATCTCCCCCTTGGAATCATTCGTCCTCGAATGATGGTCCTGGCTGCAACTACGGCTATCTATGGACATTAACGAGTGTGATGGAGATATGAGAATACTGAAATATCATGAATACATGTATATCAAACTGAACGAGCAGGTAATCACTAAATACTAAGCTCAGTAAATACTGAAGGGCATGGAAATTATAATATAAGACATGAATGGAAAGGTTAATTACCTTCCACATTTTCCTTTTGCTCTTCAAAGAGATGGTGATATAAGGACTTCATGTCCTCCTCGGCTTCCCATGTAGCCTCTTCAACCTTTTGATTCCTCCAAAGCACTTTTACTGAAGCAATTTCCTTAGTTCTGAGCTTGCGAATTTGATGATAAAGAATAGCCACTGGAATTTCTTCATAAGACAGGCTGTCTTTAACCCCTATAACCACAGTAGGAACCACAAGTGACGGGTCTCCCATGAATTTCTTCAACATGGACACATGAAACACTAGGTGTACAATATATATTTCTTGTGGCAATTCTAACTCATAAGCCACCTGTCCGATCCTTCGCATGATTCTATATGGACCAATATAGCGGGGACTAAGCTTCCCCTTTTTCCCAAATCTCATAACGCCTTTCATAGGAGATACTTTCAGAAATACCCAATCATCAACTTGGAACTCTAAGTCTCTACGCCGTACGTCCGAATAGGACTTTTGGCGACTTTGTGCCGTCTTCAAATGCCTTTGTATCAAGTTGACTTTCTCCATGGCCTGATAGACCAAATTGGGTCCTAACAACTCTGTTTCTCCGACTTCGAACCAACCAATTGGTGATCTACACCTTCGCCCATATAGAGCTTCGTACAGTGCCTTCTTGATATAAGAATGATAGCTGTTATTATAAGCAAACTCAATGAGAGGTAGATGATCGTCCTAATTACCTTTAAAATCAATAACACATGCCCTCAACATATCCTCAAGAGTCTGAATGGTACGTTACGCCTGGCCATCTGTTTGAGGATGAAAAGCGGTGATGAGGTTCACCCTTGTGCCCAATCCCTTCTGAAAGGATTTCCAAAAGTTTGCTATGAACTGAGCACCACGATCTGAGATAATGGACAAAGGAGTCCCATGCAATCGGACAATTTCTTTGATATACAACTTGGCATAATCCTCGGTCGAATCTGTAATCTTCACTAGCAAGAAGTGAGCTGACTTGGTAAGTCGGTCTACAATCACCCAAATCGAATCATGCTTCCGGAACGAGTGAGGTAGACCTGTTATGAAGTCCATGTTTATCATCTCCCATTTCTGAATGGGAATTTCTATATTCTGAGTTAAACCACCTGGTCTCTGGTGTTCGACTTTCACCTACTGACAATTTGGACACTTATCCACGAAATATGCTATATTCGTTTTCATATCGTTCCACTAATAAACCACTTTAAGATCATGATACATCTTTGTGGAACCTGGGTGAATAGAATACCTGGAATTGTGGGCTTCTGACATAATCCACTCTCTGAGCCCATCTACGTCTGGAACGCATAGTCTGCCTCTGTATCTTAAAGTATCATCAACTCCCCTTGTTCAAAAGCCATAGTCTTGTGTTTGTGAATTCCTTCCTTCAGTTGTAATAAGTAAGGATCACTGAAATGTTTTTCTTTTACTTCGGCTACTAAGGAGGATTCAGCCCTGTTTTGGAGAACAACGCTACCATCTTCGGAGTCCAAAAGTAGAACTCCTAAATTTGCTAAGCGGTGGACTTCCTTCATCATAGTTCACTTGTATGCCTCAACGTGAGCTAAGCTACCCATAGAATGCCGACTGAGAGCATCAGCTACAACATTTGCTTTCCCCGGATGATAGAGGATATCAACATCATAATCTTTAAGTAATTCGAGCCACCTTCTCTGACGTAGATTTAATTCTCTTTGCTTGAAGATGTACTGGAGATTCTTGTGATCTGTAAAAATATCAACATGTACCTCATACAAATAATGGTGCCAGATCTTAAGTGCGAACACCATAGCTTCTAATTCAAGGTCATGAGTCGGATAATTCCTCTCGTGAGCCTTGAGTTGTCTCGACTCATAGGATATCTTTACCGTGCTGCATTAATACACACCCAAGACTAACCCCTGAAGCATCACAATAAACAACGAACCCTTCGGTTCCTTCCGGTAGTGTCAGGACTGGAGCTGAAGCTAATCTCTTCTTTAACCCCTCAAAACATTTCTTGCACACGTCCGACTATTGAAACTTGACTTTCTTCTAAGTTAATCTAGTCAAAGGGGACGAGATAGAAGAAAACCCCTCTACGAAACGCCTATAATAGCCTGCTAGACCCAAGAAACTTCTTATATCGGATACTGAGGTGGGTCTAGGCCAATTCTTCACTGCCTCTATTTTCTGAGAGTCCACCTTCACGCCTACCCCTAAGATGAAGTGGCCCAAAAACGCTACTGATTTCAACCAGAATTCACACTTAGAAAATTTTGCATATAGCATGTGATCCTGCAGCGTCTGCAACACAATTTTGAGATGTTCGGCACGGTCAATCTCGCTATGGGAATAAATCAAGATGTCATCAATAAACACGATAACAAACAAATCAAGATAAGTCTTGAAGACCCTATTCATAAGGTTCATGAAAGCTGCTAGTGCATTCGTTAAACCAATTGACATTAACAAAAATTCGAAATGCCCATATCGAGTCCTAAAGCTGTTTTTGGAATATCAACTTCCTTAACCTTCAACTGATGGTATCCTGATCTGAGGTCAATCTTGGAATAACACTAGGCACCCTGAAGTTGATCAAATAAATCATCTATTATGGGAAGAGGGTACTTGTTCTTGATGGTGAATTTATTCAACTGACGATAGTCAATGCACATATGCAAATCCATGCCTACTAAGTCTCATATCACGTACCATTTCTAGAGCATACTTGGTCAGAGAGACGAACTTGAGGTAGTACTCATTCACACTCATATCATTCTGTCTGAGTCTCTCAAACTCCAAAGCCTTCGCTTCCAAGACCTCAATGGGTAGAAAGTGCTCAAGGAACACATCTGCAAACTTCTTCCAAGTCGCCGGATCCGTATCCTCCCCTCGATACTCTTCCCATGTTTCATACCAAGTGTTGGCAACATCCTTCAACTGGTATGCAGCAAGCTCTACTGCCTTAGTGTCTGTAGCATGCATCACTCGAAATATCTTCTAAACCTCATCAATGAAGTTTTGCAAATCCTTATCCTTTTTGGACCCTCTGAAGACGGGAGATTTCATGTTGAGGAATTCCCTTGTCACGACCCAGATTTCCCACCCTCGGGAGTCATGATGGCGCCTACTAATGAGAGCTAGGCAAGCCAATCCTTAACTACTTACTTCATCAACAATTACTTTTTTTAACAATGATCAGCGATAGAATGAAAATAACGGAATTGAATAAATAAGCGGAAGACTTAAGTTTAAAGAAACTGAACAATAATGCGAGAATCAACATATACCTCTACCCAAGAACAAGTGTCACATTACTCACGAACTTCTAAGAGTGCTAAATACAACAGTTTGAAAGAAAATATAAACTGTTTTGTCTCGAATATATGAGATAACAGACGAAAATAAAAAATAGAGGAGACGTCGGGCCTGCGAACGCCTGCAAGGCTACCTTAGTGTCTTACTGGACTGAAGGCTGGATCCTGCGATACTGATGCTGTCCCAAACCTGGATCTGTGCAAAAGAGCCCAGAGCGTAGTATCAGCACAAACGGCTCCATGTGCTAGTAAGTGTCTGGCCTAACACCGGCGAGGTAGTGACGAGGCTAGGACCAGACTCCAAATAAACCTGTACAGTTATATAATATATGGCGGACAGGTAAACAAGTAATAAGCAGTTTAAACTGGGGAAGGGGAACATGCTTCGGGGATACCAGTTAAAGGAAATAACAGGGAATAATAAGGAATCTAGCACTATAACTTCTGTCACAAATGAAGAAAATAAAGGCAACTTTCACTTTCAGTTTCCTCTTGTCGCAGGCATGCAACCCGATCCCATTTTTCATATCTCGTGGTACGCGTACCACCCACTCCCATTTTATTATATCTTGTGGTAGGTGTACCACCCACTCCCATTTCATATATCTTTTGGTAGGCGTACTACCTGCTCCCATTTCATCAATCTTGTGGTAGGTGTACCACCCACTCCCATTTCATATATCTTGTGGTAGGTGTACCACCCACTCCCATTTCATATATCTTGTGGTAGGCATACCACCCGCTCCCATTTCATCAATCTTGTGGTAGGCTTACCACCCACCCCATTTCATAATATCTTCTAGTAGGCGTACCACCCGCTCCCATTTCATAATATCTTGTGGTAGGCGTACCACCCGCTCCCATTTCATAATATCTTGTAGTAGGCGTACCACCCGCTCCCATTTCATAATATCTTGTGGTAGGCGTACCACCCGCTCCCATTTCATTATATCTTGTGGTAGGCGTACCACCCGTTCCCATTTCGGTTCATCACACAATCACAAGAAATCCCGTCAAAGGAACCTAAGTAATATAATAACTTCCCGATAAGGGAACAAGGATATCAAAATAGTCATCCCGGCAAGGGAGAATCAGCTATAACCAATCTCACTTTGCTAGTACTCCGTTCAATTAATTCTAATACTTAATCATAGAGGATCATTAATTAAAGTATACAAGGTGTCATTCAAAAAGACAACAACTTTCAAGTTAAGACCCACGGTCATGCTTGACACCAACGTATAGGTACTCGTCACCATGCCTATATGTCGTACTCAACAAGAAGCAAGTAGGAAATATAACTCAACTCATAATCCCTCAAGTTAGGGTTAAACCAAACACTTACCTCGATGCCTTGAACACCACTCAAGTCTCAATTATAGGTTTACCTCTTGATTCCACCACCAATCCGCTCGAATCTAGTCATAAGTTACTTAATCCCATTAATAAATGCTAAATGAATCAACTCCAATGCACAAAAATGAGTTTTCCAAAGTTTTACCCAAAAGTAAAAATTCACCCCCGGACCTACGTGGTCGCAACCCGAGGTTCGGACCAAAACCCGATTACCCATTCCCCCACAAATTCAAATATATGGTTTGTTTTGAAATCAGACCTCAAATTGAGGTCCAAACCCCTAATTTTAGAAAAACCTAGGTTCTACCCACATCACCTAATTTCCCCATGAATATCTTTGATTTGAAGTTGAAATAATGTTAAAAGATGTTAAGAAGTGAAGAAAATAAGTTAGAAATCACTTACCAATCGTTTCGGAGAAGAAAGGTTGTTTGGAAAATCGCCTCTTATGTTTTGGGGTTTTGAAAAGTGTAAAATAACTGAAATTCACGTGTATTTATACCCCTCTGAAGCTCCCACCGCGGACCGCGCAAGAAGGACCGCGGCCACACAGGCTTCCTAAAGGCCTGCGGACCTATGCCCCGCACGGACCACACAAAGTCGACCACAACGCGCAGCACCCACCGCGGACCGCACAAAAGCGACCGCGGCCACGCTGGCCCCTTCGCAACCGCACGCGTTTCCTTGCGAGACGCGCAAAAGGGTTCAGAGACCTGTCAAAATTCCTGAACCTGCAACATCTGATCTTTTAAAGCCTAAGGCATCCGCCCTCGAAACTCTAAACCAAGCATGCACACTACCTCAAAAAACACCCTACGAACATATTCGTGTGATCACATCACCAATATAACATCATGAACATCGAATTGAGCCTCAAGATCCATGAAATTTCTCAGATTTCCTTTTAAACATCAATTTTCCCAATTTGGGTCCGGATCACGTCAAACGACGTCCGTTTTTTACCAAACTTTACAGGAGTGATACAAAACATATATAAGACTCGTACCGGGCGTCGGAACCAAAATACGGGCCCGATACCATTGCTTTCTAATCAAATTTCATTTCCATTTTCTTTAAACATTTTCAAAGAACAATTTCACTTAAAAATTCATAACTCGGGCTTGGGACCTCGGAATTCGATTCCTAGCATACGCCCACATCCCATATTTTCCTACGGACCCTCTAAGACCGTCAAATCACAGGTCCTGGTCCGTTTACCCAAAAAATTGACCAGAGTCAAAATTATTCATTTCGAGGTCAAAACTTAGCAATTTTCACAAGATTTCACATTTAAGCTTTCCGGCTACGCTCGGAAACACAGATTTCATTTAGAAACAGGTGATGACCCTTTTGGGTCGTCACATTCTCCACCTCTAAAACAATCATTCGTCCTCGAACAGACAGAAGAAGGAAGTAACTGAGTCGGGGAAAAGATGGGGATACCGGTACCGCATATCGGACTCGGACTCCCAGGTCGATGCCTTAGGGGGCTGACCTCTCCACTGAACACAAACCGAAGGAAAGTTATTTGACCTCAGCTAGCGAACCTGCCAGTCTAGAATAGCCACCGGCTCCTCCTCATACGAAAAATCCTTGTCCAACTACACAGTGCTGAAATCTAACACGTGGGATGGATCGACGTGATATTTCCGAAGCATGGACACATGAAACACTAGATGCACGGTTGATAATCTAGGCGGCAATGCAAGTCTATAAGCCACCTCTCCCACTTAATCACAGATCTCAAATGGACCAATGAACCTAGGGCTAAGCTTTCCCTTCTTCCCAAATCTCATCACGCCCTTCATAGGCGACACTCGGAGCAACACCCGCTCAACAACCATAAAAGCCACGTCTCGAACCTTACGATCTGCATAGCTCTTTTGCCTGGACTGAGTTGTACAAAGCCTATCCTGAATGATCCTGATCTTGTCCAAGGCCTCCTGAACCAAATCTGTACCCAACAACCGAGCCTCTCCCGGTTCAAACCATCCAACCGGAGATCGATACCGCCTACCATATAAAGCCTCATAAGGAGCCATCTGGATACTCGACTGGTAGCTGTTGTTGTAGGCAAACTCTTCTAAAGGCAAGAACTGATCCCACGAACCTCCAAAGTCAATAACACAAGATCGGAGCATATCCTCCAATATCTGAATAGTCCGCTCGGACTGTCCATCCGTCTTAGGATGAAATGCTGTACTCAACTATACCTGGGTCCCTAACCCTCACTGAACTTCTCTCTAGAAACGTGAGGTGAACTGCGTACCTCAATCCGAAATGATAGATATCGGCACACCATGAAGACGAACAATCTCCTGGATATAGATCTCAGCTAACCTTTCGGACAAATAAGAGACTACCATAGGAATGAAATGCGCTGACTTGGTCAGCCTATCAACAATGACCCAAACTGCATCGAACTTCTTCCGGGTCAACGGAAGTCCAGTAACGAAGTCTATAGTGATTCTCTCCCACTTCCACTCGGGAAGCTCAATCCTCTGAAATAGACCACCAGGCCTCTGATGCTCATACTTAACCTGTTGACAATTCAAACACCGAGCCTCATAGGCAACGATATCCTTCTTCATTCTACGTCACCAATAATGCTGCCGCAAATCCTGATACATCTTCACGGCGCATGGATGGATAGAGTACCGGGAACTATGGGCCTCCTCTAAAATCAACTCTCGATGCCCATCCACACTAGGCACACAAACTCGACCCTGCAATCTTAGAACTCCATCATCACCTAAGGTAACCTGCTTGGCACCCCCACACCGCACCGTGTCTCTAAGGACACACAAATGGGGATCATCAAACTGTCGATCATGGATAAGCTCCAATAACGAAGAACGAGCGACCGTGCAAGCTAATACTCGACTAGGCCCATAAATATCAAACCTCACAAATCGATTGGCCAAAGCATGAACATCCATAGCAAGCAGCCTCTCACCGACTGGAATATAAGCAAGACTGCCCATACTGGCTGACTTTCTACTCAAAGCATCGGCCACCACATTGGCCTTTCCCGGGTTATATAGGATAGTGATGTCATAATCTTTCAACAACTCCAACCACCTCCTTTGCCTCAAATTCAACTCCTTTTGCTTGAACAAATACTGAAGACTCTTATGATCTGTGAACACCTCACATGCCATGCCATACAGGTAATGCCTCCAAATCTTCAATGCGTGAACAATGGCTGCCAACTCCAAATAATGCACTGGATAGTTCTTCTCATGAACTTTCAACTGTCTCGAAGCATAGGCAATGACCTTGCCATCCTGCATCAATAATACACCAAGTCCA